CATCTGCTAACCTCTGACATCAGCATACCCCATACCCAAATTTCACTACCCTCAACTCTCCAATCTCGCAGAAACCTCCACTGCCTTGATCTCCAGCATTTCTCCATGAAACTCCAAACTCTCCTTTTACCCATCTCAAATCTCACTTGCCCTAACTCTGCAACCTCACTCTACACTCCACTCTCTCCTCTCAACTAGACATCATGGCACCTCCTATATTTAAACGCAGCAAGTGTTTTCCAAAAATGTTCAACAACTGCTGAACGCTGTTGGAGAAAGTCTCACTCTGCACCTAACTTCCTCCACTATAAATTTATGCTGGCTCATTCCACTGCAAAAGTAAATTACTTCAATACCCTCATACCCACACTCTCCCGCGAACCCAAATGACTATTTCACACTTTTAATGCTCTCCTTCGCCCTGTTGCTCCCCCTCCTCCTACCACCCTGTCTGCCTCAAACTTTGCAACTAACTTTACTGAGAAGATTTCTACAATCAGGGAAGAGATCTCTAACCGCTCTCCATCCCCTTCCAATACATCACCCAACCCCACTCCCTCTGCTGTTCCATTTGCCTTCAGGATCCTTGAGAGAATGGTGTATGCGAGATTGACAGACTTCCTCGAATCCAACCATCTGCAAGACCCGCTTCAGTCAGGATTCTGCGCTCGTCACTCTGTTGAAACAGCGGTGACCAAAGTATCCAACGATTTAATCGCTGCTAAATCTCGCGGCCATTACTCTATCCTAATTCTCCTTGATCTTTCTGCTGACTTTGACACTGTTGATCTTCAACAGCTTCTTCTCATTCCCTGTAGTCTCGGTCTATGGGATACCGCTCTCTCCTGGTGCTACTTCTACCTCTCCCAACGCTTTTCTAGTGTTTCTTTCTCTGGCTCTGCCTCTTCAACCCAACCCCTCTCTGTTGGCGTTCCCCAAGGTTCTGTCCTTGGACCCCTACTGTTCTCTATCTATACTCCTCCCTTGATAAACTCATCAGCTCCTTTGGCTTCCATTATCATTTATATGCAGATGACACACAAATCTACCTGTCCTCTCCTGATCTCTCTCCGCCCATCTTGACTTGTGTCTCTGACTGCCTCTCTGCGATTTCCTTAAACTCAACCTGTCCAAAACAGAACTTCTGGTCTTTCCTCCCTCAAGTGTTGCTACTCCCGTGTCTGTCTGTCTCCAAGTCAACAGCGCCACCATCACCTCTACCTTGCAGGCTGGCTGCCTAGGTGTTCTCTTTGACTCCAACCTCTCCTTCACCCCTCATGTCCAGTATATCGCCAAATCCTGTGGCTTCCATCTCAAAAACATAGCAAGCATCCACCCTTATTTAACACCAGACGCAGCTAAGGTGCTGCTCCATGCCATTGTGTCAGTAGTCTTATGTGTTCCCAGATTGCACCGCTGCAATCTATAATGAATGCAGTGCGAGGATCATTTTCCTGCCCGCCCACATCTCCCCCCTCTGTCAGTCCCTACATTGGCTTCCAGTTAGATGTTGGGCTCAATTTAAGATTCTGGTGCTTGCTTACAAGTCCCTACATAATGTTGCTCCAAACTACCTATCCTCCCTAACACACAAATATGTCCTGTCGAGGCCTCTGCACTCTGCCGAAGACCTATGCCTATCCTCTGTCCGTACTCCCACATCTGATGCTCACCTCCAAGATTTCTCCAGGGCTGCACCTTTTCTGTGGAACTCCCTTCCCTTCTCCATTAGACTTTCACCCAGTCTCCACTCCTTAAAAAAAATCTTTGAAAACACGCTTCTTCAGGAAAGCATATCATCTAAACTTTTAGCGGATTTTCATTCCCTTCCCTCATGATTCCTCTCCTGCAAATGGCAAAAATAACTTACTAAGTTCTCAACGATTATTTTTCTAGCAACCTAAATCATTACCCCTACTTATACCCTTTGTGTCACTATACCCCAGTCCCTCTAGCATGTAAGCTCATTGAGCAGGGCCCTCAACCCCTCTGTTCCTGTGCATCCATTTGTCTGGTTACAATTATGTGTCTGTTAGTCCACCCATCATACAGTGCTACAGAATTTGCTGGCGCTATATAAATAACAAAATGCTGCTACTCCTGTCTCTGTCGCCATCCAAGTCAACGGCGCTACTATCACCTCTACCTCCCAGGCTCGCTGCCTAGGAGTTCTTTTTGATTCTGATCTCTCTTTTACTCCCCATGTTCAATCGATAGCCAAATCCTGTCGCTTCCAACTCAAAAACATAGCGCGCATCCGCCCATATCTAACACCGGACGCGGCTAAGGTACTGATTCATGCTGTTGTTCTCTCTCGCCTTGACTATTGCAATCCCCTTCTCACCGGTCTTACATGTTCCCAGCTTGCACCGCTGCAATCTATAATGAATACGGCTGCAAGGCTTATTTTCCTGTCCGGTCGCACCTCCCACGCCTCCACGCTCTGTCAGTCCCTGCATTGGCTTCCAGTTAGATATAGGGCCCAATTCAAAATTCTGGCGCTTGCTTACAAATCCCTACATAATGCTGCTCCAACATACCTATCTTCCCTCATACACAAGTATGTCCCGACGAGACCCCTGCGCTCAGCCCAAGACCTACTCCTATCCTCTTACCCGGATCCCCACCTCTGTTGCTCGCCTTCAAGACTTCTCCAGGGCTGCACCTATTCTGTGGAACTCCCTTCCCTCCTCAATCAGACTTTCACCCAGCCTCCATTCCTTCAAAAAATCTTTGAAAACTCACTTCTTTATTAAAGCGTATCAATTAAACTGTCAGCAGGTTTCTCATCCCCCACCCCATGACTCCGTTCCTTCACCTGTCAAAAATGACCTACCAAGCACTCAATAAACCCTTCTGTAACAAACTATTTAATTCCCCTACTTTAACCCTTTGTGTCACTATACCCCACTCCCTCTAGCATGTAAGCTCATCGAGCAGGGCCCTCAACCCCCTCTGTTCCTGTACGTCAGTGGTCTGATCTCAATTATGTGTCTGTTATTCCACCCATTGTACAGCGCTACGGAATTTGTTGGCGCTATATAAATAATAAAATAATAATAATAATAACAAAATAATAATAATAATAATAGAACCGTTTTAATGAGATGATCAAGCAATGGAATTGCACTATAATTATCAACAGATCTGGTATACAATTTGTACCACAGCTTCTCAGACCAATGGGATATATTCTACTTAATTCTGTACTGCCTTCAGATTCCATGGTGGGCATAATTTAGGTTTTTACTTGCTGGCTTTGTGTATTATCTGACAGCTCCATGTGAATCAAATCACTTGGTTTTGTGACATGACTGATAACGTTAAGAGGGGGTAGATGCTAACAATGAAACTCTCCATTTAGGCACATTCCTTCAGGCCAGGTGATGGAAAAGTCTCTTAGGGAATTTCTATTTTAGACTAATAGCGTTTTGCCAAAAATGGTAGAATGATCATCTTTTCTCCATCACTTGCCAGACTGTTCTTTAAAACTAGTTAAATGATTAAATATGTAATGGAGAACAAAATCTCCTATACATTAATATGAAACTAAAATAATTGATTTTGTAAACCCATTCAGTGTTGGAGAATATAAGAAACATATTATATACAATGCATCGCAAATGGCCATCTTGACCGTAAAAGAGTTAACATTTAGGAGAAATCCTGAGGTTTTACCCATTCTCAATAGGTGATTTATTGACAGGAAGTCTCTGTTAAAAGTGGCACTGACTGCTCAATGACAATGACCTGATTTTTGACTCACTTCATTAAAAAGGAAACTAAATGCATTAAAATAAATTATCTTTAATGTTATAACAATAGGCTTCCAATTAGCACATATGACATGTGTGAATATTCCCATATTGTACTGTTTGAACAACAAGTAAACCATCTTTAATTAATTTAGCAGTTTCACCTTCCTACTAATAAATAACCCTTCAATTATGCTTGATGAAGTGACATGTGTGCCTAAAGTGCAACAAAGGGCAAAAAACAAAAAAACAAAACCACAAAAAAGAGAACAATTGTACATTGTCCTCATCCCTCAGGAGGACTTCCACTTAACTCTTTCCACTGATTGATAATCCATATTATTTGTCTTTATTATGGTTCCTTTTTGAAGGTAATGAAAAAACACTGGGTATTTTCTTATTCAAAGTGAAAGCTTGTTACGTTGTGGTGATTGTAACAAATTGCCATAAAGGAAAGTTTCTTTAGAATTTAAATAAATTGTCTTTCAATTCTTGCTAGAAAGGGAACACAGCTTCTTAGAATATCCAAGCCTGCCTCCTTTTTATATGCGCCTTTGAAATGTGCATTTTTAAGAGTGACTTTGCTTAAGTTGTTTCATTACAGCATCATTCATGCCTCCTTGTCACCTATTGTGATTTGGATTGATAGGAAAATGACCAGACCCTGGGGACCAGTCTTTAAAAATCCTCAATGTATAATTTTCAGATACATATAATTGTCCTTTTTGGAATTTTCAAAGGAAGAGTTGGGCATAAACCCTATCCTCTGATGAGCTACCAAAGCTTTGTGATGTGGTTTTTTTTTTTTCCTGCACTGAGCCACTGTAAGTAGCGCTGTGTAATTTTATCCAGCCTGCAGTTTTAGTTCACACAAGACTGATACCTTGCCTTCCTCCTTTGTATCAATTGGTTGGAGATCTGTCTATTGTTGCAGGGCTTGCTTTTATTTCAATGCTGTCGAGCAACACTTTTTTCTCCGTCAACCCATAAAATTCAGTAGCATTAGTACTTTTCTTCATCTTGTTCCCCCTCCCCTGTCTTGCAATTTGAGAGATGGCTAAACTCTGAGCACTGCAGCTGATCCAAGAAGCTGGGGCCTTTGGTTGCTATCTATTTATTTTGAAGATCAAGACAAGGAAGATAAAAGGTCAGATCGAGTCAGATAAAGCTGCCAATGTTTCATGCATCACAGCAGTGTGATTTACCACTTGGAGAGCTGCTAACAAGACATCTTTAATGGGACCCCTTATGTCATTTGCTTCAAGACTTTATCTGCTTAAGGGACTTTGTGTTTGGGCCATGCCACAATGGTTATAATTTGGATTTTGTTGCTGAGTTCTTTTGATCTTGGCCCACAGATATCCTGGGCTAAGAGCTTGTCTAGTACTGCTAAAGTACGTTGTACCAGAGGCAAACTGTGTGACCCCAGGCTGAGGAGAGATGCTGGGGGACGTGGGGGAGTCTATGAGCATCTTGGAGGGGCACCGAGGCACAGAAAGCTTTACTGTGCTACCAAATATCATCTTCAAATCCATCTCAATGGAAAAATTAATGGAACGCTGGAGAAAAACAGCATCTTTAGTAAGTTTGTCCAAATAAGTGAATGTATTGAAGTTTTTCTTTTTTTTCTTTATCTGCAATGTTCTTTATTTAATGCATTAACTATCTGTTGTTTCTTACAGTGGGCTTGTTGCATTTTAATGTAAAGCAAACCTTTATTTTAAGGGGTTTATTCACTAAACAGTGAATTGTGGTGAACTGAAAATTCAGTTTCCTCAATTTAAGACAAAGTATACAAGTTGTTATTATAGGTCATTTGTGCATATTGCTCTTAATTTTACAAATTTGGCTTTGGCAAAGTTAAAGTGCATTGCTTATACACCCCTAATTGTTTAATGTATTGGAGCAAGAGTAAAAAATGAAATTGTAATGTGTTTATGATATAAAAAGAAAATATTCTAGTGAGAGATTGTATTAAATTAAACTCAAGTTATAGGTAAAAAGTTATGTCAGATAAAAAGATGAGCTGAAACTCACTGCATTCATCATAGGGTCATCATCAATGCCCAGAACAGACTGGAGGCATTTAATCAATCCATATTTTAATTTCACATATATCTTTGGCATCTGTTTTGGTCCAAATAATAGATGCATAAGTCAGTATATTAGATTGCCACTTTTTTAAACAAAAACTTTTTTTCTTTTCTGGAAATAACTATGCAATCTGTTTGCTTTCAGCCTTAGCCAGTCTAGACAAAGAAACAAACATTTTTTTTCTTTATTAATACAAAGACCTACGTTCACCTTTTTTCATGTTGTCTCCTATTTCGTTCGGGAGATGTTTTCATTGAATGGGATAGGACTTTCAAACGACAGAGCATTATCTTGCTCCATGTGTGCTTTTCTCTGAATTAACCTGGAGGGTAAGGGTGTACCTTCATCCTTCAGCTGGGTCCGCAAGCACATCATCTGTTTAAGAGTGTCTTATTTATTTATTTATTTATTAAAGGCATCCATTCTGGACAATAAGCTCACTACAGCATGCTATTACACAATTTGTTTAATTTCCCTACTTTTAAAGCCTCTTGTCACTAAAATCAAAATCAGAATACACTCTCTGTATTCCAACCCAATTGTCCCATCTTGATGTGGACAGTAAATTCATTTACATATCTGTTTGTCATTCTTTTACATATCTGTTTGTCATTCTTTTGAAAAGAGTAGGACAGTGCAAAATTTAGATCAGTGATGAGCTAAATTAGTGTATATACACCTGGTTACATTAATGAGTTAATATTAGCTCTATAAAAAATGTTCTATCTCTAGGTAAAACCCATCATATTCCTTCAACACACATGGTAGTACAGAATGTTGGAAAAGTCTTGGCATGCTATGGAATTGGGGTTTTATTAGTAAAGGTAATAGTTTCATATAAGGGCAGTGAGGGATACAGAAATTTAAATGTGCGGTGGCACTTTAATTCTGCAAATTACATATCCAGTATTACAGAACACTCTGTTATTGTTGATATTTTACATTCACCAGATAGCTGAACCCTATAGTGCTTGGTAAAATCTGTACCTGTAAACTCAGTTCCACGGTTTATGTTAATTCTGGATTTTGGGAACACAACATATAGATTTCTGTGGTTCATGTGAATATTGAAAGGATTAACTGGAACATGATCAAATTTTAGGGGTTGTACCTTTGAGCAGAAAAAAAACCCAAACATGTGAATAAATGCAATATGACCTTTGTGGGAAGGGTTTGGTTAAAAAACATTTAACAGCATCTTGCTGACAGGGAATGCACTGTGAACAAGCACAAGCTGGTTCACTGCATAATGCTTATCTAAAATAAACTCATCCCTTTGGCACTCTGATGGTTAAATAAGAGTAGGATTTCAAGGGTTTATTGACAAACCTGTAAAAAGCCATAATAGATGGAGCTTAGTTCAGTTAAGTTTTCAGTCTCGCATGTCAATTGCTTTTCTTCTTTCGGACATGCTTTTTAAATAACACATGTTGAACCTGACCTGTCCATACAACAAATGCCAGGGTGATCCCTGGGAGGCCCTGCAACAATACATAAGATCTTTGGGCATTGTACGAGTTCAGTCCTGGCTAAAGCTACTTATTCTCAATAAAACAAATTAACTGTGCTGTCTATTTGTTGTAATGCATTATCCCAACATTTGGGATTTCACAGATTAAACCTGACTGCTTCACCAATCGAGTGTGCCACTAATACCCTGCAAAATATTGTTTGTTTTCCTAATCCCCAAATACTTTTAAAACATTTAGACTCTTGCTTTTGATGGCAAACAGAGATTAGAAAACCTCAAAGGATTGGGGAGGAGTAAGGAAACCACTATTTCCTAAAAGGAAACTCTACTTATGAAAAGCTTTTAAAGACATCTCTCATGCTTCATGGACAGCACAGTACATGATCACTCACAACACATGTGCAATGATACTCACACAGTTGTGAAAACTATTCCTCGATATAAAAATGAACAAGCCGTGGTCCTAGATATTATTATATTGGTGCTTTTCTGCTGATGACAAATGTTTCTCAACATCAACAAAAACATGTTGGCGACATTCATTAAGGTGCCTTTTTTCTAAACGAATGAATGAAGTTCAATGTATATTTAGTTTAAATAAACCTGATGAGCAATTACATATTTTTTACAAACATTAGAAACACTGGATCATCACAACATTTGCTGCTCTGGAAAAAATATAAAAAGAGCATCTATGACCCTGTCATCATATTTATGGAGCAATCTCCATAGAAACCAAAGGAATGTTCTTGCAGACTACTCTGCTTTTCGCACTTTACCCCGTTAAAGCTCTTTGCCCCCCCCGCCCCCCACCTATGCATTCTGTACATAATTATCTGGGTATCCCAGCAAGCACAGCCAAGTGACTTAAATCTTCAGTAATCAAAGGTGCAGTTTGGGTACAGCACGTCTTAAATAGTTACTGATGATGAACATATCTGCTCAAACTTGTTTTTATACGTATGTGGTAAACACTTCACCACTAACGCTGTTAAAACATAACAAATTAGTTCATTGATACTGTCGTGTAGCATAAAGAAATAATACATGGGAATTTTCTAAATGTCATGCATGGAAAGTAGGGATTAAATAATAGGTTTTGTTTATTTCTAGGTATATTAGAAATAACCGCTGTGGATGTGGGAATTGTCGCCATCAAAGGCCTGTTCTCTGGGAGATATCTTGCTATGAACAAAAGAGGGAGACTTTACGCCTCGGTGAGTGCCATGAAATGCCAAAAACCTTCTTTTCTCTGAATCCAAACATAATAAAAAGGTGTTTCTTGCAACAGTTACTATGCCTGCATGAGCATGTGTTTGTTTTACTTTGCAAAGGCAAGGACTGGGTTCATGTTAGCTCATAGGAGAAATAATTATCCTGAGAAGCACTCTCATATAAACGGCATAATACTTCCTAAAGCAGCATTGTGTGATAATTATTTGACAGTTACTGCACCCTACAGAACAATAATACTGCTTAACCTAGGCTTTAAATAGTTAAAGAGACCATAGAGGGAAAAAACAAAACAAACATTTTGTCATAAAATTTCCATTCTTCAAATTATTATTATTATTATTTATATAGCGTCAGCGATGCTGTACAATGGGAATCTAAAAAAGTATATATTTATATAGTCAAATCTTCAAATGGTGTGACAGATTTTACCAATACGGTATATCTCTGAAATGATTAACGTCTACACTATTAAGTTATCTGTTCCACTAGAGTCCATTTTTTGTAAACTAGAAAGAAATGTGCATAATAATGTTCACATCATATCCCCCAGATGAGACACTACATAATGATAAAACAACATCTCTGCTGGGCAGTAAAAAAAAATTGAATTTTTTTTTTCTTTTAAACGGAAGAGAATAGCTTTCTTTGAATTTGAAAAAACAGTGCAAACAAGTGCTGACGGTATGCCGCTCACAAATACTCAAAAGGGGCAGTGAAGAGGTTAAGATATCCAATGGCCCATTTGGAATGAAAACGGCAAAAAATAATCTGTTGCACAGGTCACATCTGGAAGGATATGGTGTCTGTGGGTCTCCGAAGCGATATCAGCCTGGGGGCCAATTAAAGCGAATGACTTGTAACTGTGCTGTAGCAGTAAACTGAATGCTGTGCTAGATGTACTTAAGCAGATTTACCCTGAGCATTAGATTTTCTCTTTATCGTGTAAAACACTGTAAATTCTGCTAATACCCATTATGTCTCTTAACTCCTTCAGACTTTTATGAAAGGTAAATCTGAAGCATTCTAATAGGAAATTAGAAAAAACTAGACAAGTATTCCTTCCATTTCATGGCTTATTTATCCAAGGCGCACAAACAATGACTTTTTACTAAGCAGATTGGTAATGATCTGTCATGTTTTTTTTAAATTTAAATTAAAGCAAATACTGTGTTAAGGTGTGCCGAGAGGGATAGTAGGAAAATGTGACTGGGTCATCTTACTTCCCAACACACGTGCATATTTTTATATGCTACCTTGCACGTGCATAGAAGCTTCTACGACATGTGCATGGGACTAAAATTATTTGTATCAAAAGTCAGGGTGCAGGACTGATCATCGTGACATAGTATATTCATGTAACATTAAAGGACCACTATAGTGCCAGGAAAACATACTCGTTGTCCTGGCACTATAGTGCCCTGAGGGTGCCCCCACCCTCAGGGACCCCCTCCTGCCGGGCTCTGGGGAGAGGAAGGGGTTAAAGTTACCTCTTTCTCCAGTGCCGGGCAGGGAGCGCTCCTCTTCCTCGGCTGAATGCGCATGCGGGGCAGGAGCTGCGCGCGCATTCAACCAGTCTCATAGGAAAGCATTCATAATGCAGTGAGAAGCATGCAAGCGCCTCTAGCGTCTGTCAAGAGACAGCCACTAGAGGCTGGATTACCTATTTATAAACATAGCAGTTTCTCTGAAACTGCTATGTTTATTAAAAAAAAAGGGTTAATCCTAGCTGGACCAGGCACCCAGACCACTTCATTAAGCTGAAGGCACCCAGACCACTTCATTAAGCTGGGTGCCTATAGTGGTCCTTTAAGAATAGACCCTGCAAAGCACTAATGATATAACACATGCCTCTGATCATTGCATGTAAGATACCGTATTTTTCGCTCCATAAGACGCACTTTTTTCCCCCTCAAAAGTGAGGGGAAATGTCTGTGCGTCTTATGGAGCGAATGTGAAGAATTACTTACCTGTCTTGGAGCGTGGGCCGGCTTCACAGCGCGCTCCGCGGTCCAGGAACTTCTATTTCAGGTTCCGGTTTCCGGCGGGACTGAAAGGAAGTGTGCACACTCAGTGTGCACACTTCCTTTCAGTCCCGCCGGAAACCGGAACCTGAAATATTAGTTCCTGGACCGCGGAGCGCGCTGTGAAGCCGGCCCACGCTCCAAGACAGGTAAGTAATTATGGGACAAGGGGAGGGGGAGACACTATGGGACAAGGGGAGGGGAGACACTATGGGACAAGGGGAGGGGGACACTATGGGAGAAAGGGAGGGGAGACACTATGGGACAAGGGGAGGGGAGGAGACACTATGGGACAAGGGGAGGGGAGGAGACACTATGGGACAAGGGGAGGGGGACACTATGGGAGAAAGGGAGGGGAGACACTATGGGACAAGGGGAGGGGGGGACACTATGGGACAAGGGGACACTATGGGACAAGGGGAGGGGGAGACACTATGGGACAAGGGCAGGGGGGGACACTATGGGAGGGAAAGTGCACTATGGGACAATGGGAGGGGGGGACACTATGGGATCAGAACACTAATGGACAAGGGGAGGAGGGGTTAAAGAACACTATGGGACAGGGTAGGAGGGGTTAACAATCACTATGGGACAGGGTAGGAGGGGTTAACAATCACTATGGGGGTAGGAGGGGTTAACAATCACTATGGGACAGAGGAAAGGGGGGTTAAAGATCATTATGGGACAGGGGAGAAAAAAAAATATTCTGAACAAACTGTCCCATGGTAAGAAACACTATGGAACAGTTTGTTCAGAATATTTTTTTTTCTGGGTTTCCTCCTCTAAAAACTAGGTGCGTCTTATGGTGAGGTGCGTCTTATGGAGCGAAAAATACGGTATATATAATAGTTTTTTTTATCTGAGGTAATAAACAGGGAGCCCTCTAGACCTCATGATGCTCAGCAATCATTCTGAAACAAAATGAGCATATCTATGGTTCGGGAGAAAATCACTGGTTTTTACTCCTTAATAGCTGTTGCATGTTGGCTAGCAATAATCTGTGAGTGAACCTAAAGATTTCACACATTCACAACAAGCTCCCAGTGCTGTGTTATGCAATAATGTATCTACTTGGTAAATAAATCCCATAGAAAAGCAGAAACTGAGAATTTATGGACATCTCCAATCTTTTAAAAACACACACACACACATATGTAAATGTGTTTGAAGAAATGACATCTCAATGTCATATTATAATTATAAAAAAGTTGTTGTCACATCATGGGAGTGCTATTCAGGATCGTACCTGCTACGAGGGGGCATAAAATGAACTCAGCATGAAAGTTAAAAAATGAACGAATGGCCCAGTGGTACCCCGTTGCCATCACCTGTGTAACAAACATGATCTCAGCCTGTTGATAACCAGAAATATTGACATCTATATTATACTGAATAACTATGTGTAGCTTTTAGTGGAATAGGGGAGAAACAACCTACTGAAGAGGAAGCACTCTTTTGACTTTTAGGCAGCAAAGTGAGCAAACTCACTTAAGACTTAATTTGTGAGTTTACATGAGAACAGGAAAATGAAAATCTATTGTAAATATAGTGATTACTCAGCCACTGACAGGCAGGTTTGTTTAGTTACCCTATCTGTTTATTGAAATAAGGTAACACGAGCTGTTGATAAAGGAAGGTTTTTGTATCTTATCTCATTCGTATGCCTTAGGATGTGATTGGTTACAAATGCTTCTTCCTTCTTTATCCTTAGGGTAATGCATTGGTTTGTGTACTGTTTAGAAATAAAATATCTGATATATTCTCATTTATCAAACGTGTAGTGAAACTACACACATTGATGTCACTTGCTTCATCTCTCCTACGCTCCCACAAAGCCAATACCAGCAGTATCCTAGATTCCAAATATAGATAGCAGAGGTTCTTAACCTCTTTTTGGAATCCCTACCAGAACACAATCTGAGGAATGCAATAGCAAATTTCTACTTTGTGTGATACGTAATGTTAATTCACCAACTACCCGGATTTCTCAAAATTGTACGTAATAAAGGATGGATCTTAAATCTATTCACTTGACATAACCTTACTTATAAGAAAAAGTCAGAAAAAATTGCAATATCTAATGCATTTGAAAGATCAGCTTGGGTAAGATATGGGTAAGATATATCATAGGTACACTCGCTGACTTTTTAAAGAAAGGTAGTATTTTGGGTGCTTTTTGACTTTTTGATTTACTCTTTATTGGGTAGAAAATTTGTAAAAATTTACTTTTATAACATAATTCCCTTAAGACCCAATGGCATCCCATACTGTCATCACAAACTGGTACTGGCAGACCAGGGGCAGCATGTGTAGCATTATCAGCTTTGTTTATTGATTAGATTCTTATGTTCAGATAAATGGCTGTTGGTCATGAACAAGTTAACAGGATTTGTGATCTCTAAATATAAAGCTCATAAACTCTTAAACTCACAGGTAGTTGCCAGCTGTAGGTATGTTACCTTGATAAAATATTTAACTGTGTTCTTTCTCTGTTCCAGGAAACTTACAATCCTGAATGTGAGTTTGTGGAGAGAATTCATGAACTAGGTTATAATACATATGCTTCCCGCTTGTATCGGACTGTTCCGAATGGAGCTGGCACAAAACGCAAAGCCAGCGCAGAGAGACTTTGGTATTTATCCATCAATGGCAAAGGCCGACCTCGGCGTGGTTTTAAAACAAGAAGGACTCAGAAATCTTCTCTGTTCTTACCAAGGGTGCTAGATAACAAAGACCATGATGCAGTGCGGCTGTATCATACAAGCCCAAAGTACAGAGAAAGTATTTTAAAACCCTCAAAAGGCAATGGAAGAAAGAGGAGAGGACATTGAGGGGATAAAGATGACTAATTCTCCAAAAAAAATTAAAAATAGAACTCTAAGAATGCATCTTCGACAACAAGAAGAAATTGTAGGACCACCCTATCACGGATAGCACAATTTGTATGGCTGAAAATGATGCAACAAACAAATACAGTCAATTGGGCAGTGACTGGTACATGGATACTTGAGTCATCAGTTTGTGGGAGATTTTTGCCTAACTATTTGTCATGCCCAAATGAGGACCTGGCTCATTATGTTTAGACTTGTGCTACACATAATATATTTAAACAGCTACATTTAAATTAGACTGTGATATATATATATATATATATATATATATATATGTATATATATATATATTGATTGAAGCTGACAGTGAAGGAGGGTTCAGCAGTGGAAGCTAATTATTGTTAGCACCATAATCGGACACCATTCTCTCTGAACTTACGAGAGCACGGAATTATAAAACTACATGACTGACTATCACGTGCCCTACCTCAAATTTCATTTGGATTTTGTGTTCTTGTTCATTGTTTTGTGGAAATTAATGCGTAAAGATATCTTCATGAAGATCGTAAAATTGAGACTGTGTCGAGAACCCCCATACAAACAAATAGGAATATACATAAAATATATACATATATATATAAATCTATAAAAGTCTGATTGAGGGCAAGTGTTATAATGTATTTATTGCTACCAAATGGTCATTTAATATCTTTGTGCAGATCAATAGACGGTCATTGTCCCAATGTGGAAGTTAGAAAGGAACCAGTACAATTGATTGTAAATGCAATGAGCCAGCTTGCACACTTCTGTTACAAGTATTTTATGATGTGTTTAGATAAACCCCAGTGTTCACTATGATATGTTTATATGTTTCTATCTTTATGTTGGTGCTTTCTAAATGCAGGATAATACTACTAATATTCGCTGTGCACAAACATAATTTCATAAGCATTTTACACTAGTTTTGATGCATTTTCCCAAGAGTGCTATAAGGTAGCCTTTAACTGTGCACCCTTGAGTAAACTAATAACAGGAACTCAGCAGCTCCATTTCAGGATTTTGTTAGAGACAGGAATAAAGAAATAGAAGGCACTAATTATTTTAGAGTACTAATAAAAACAGACATTCCTCAGATGCTCACTATTTCACATCTACTGTGTTTATTGATTTAGTTTTTTTAAATGCATCCGACTTTAAAATGCTATGAAATTGTTGTGATGGCAATAATGATTATTAAAAGACATGACAAAACAATAAATGTTACATTTTTTTACAGATTGATCCTGTTGCTTGAATCGATTAACCCATTTAAACTTTTCAGGCATTCACAATAATTTTATATTTTGTTATTTTTAACATAATGTTACTTTTTTCCCTTTTTTTAAACAAAAATATTTTAAAAAAATGTAAAGCAAAAAAATGAATTTTCTAAAATAATGACTTGCTAACATAAAAATGTTTTGCTGTATAGGAAATCATATTTTGTAGGAGACAATACAGGAATGATTTACCATAATTCTTTCACAAATATGATATAAAACCCCAAACCAGATTTGTTCCTAGTTTACATGTTTTCCAGGTATCTGATCTTCCCCCAGGGGAGTCTGCAGAAGTCTAGAAAAGGGTTGTACCCAATCATAAATATCACAGGGTACTGAGTATGGGTCAGCATACCCCATAGAACATATATAAAAAAAAAAAAAAATCTCAGGGGCTCACTGTGATACGTTTAAAACAGCTTTAATGGATCCTCAACGTTCTGACCTGTACCCAGGTCTTTGTCAAGCTTGATAAAGATCTGGATACAGGTCGAAACATTGAGGATCCATTAAAGTTGCTTTAAACGTACTACAGTGAGTGCCTGAGATTTTTTCTTTGAAGTCTAGAAGAGAGTCACTATCTTGTTACAGCTCTTAAGCAACCCCATGTTTCCTATTCCTTTTAATGGGACAATTAGCTAGTAACTCTAATCAATTTGCTTAGAACCACACACATGTACGAAGTTCACCAGTGGTGGCTTCTTTTCATTTTTGAAACTAGTTTTCGTTACTTTTTTTAGTAGTTTTGGCTAATTTCCACATGTGCACATGACTATTCACTAACCTCTTATAAAAATCCGGGTATGGGGGGTTCCTCTGGGCAGAAGGACACAGAAAGGTGAAACATTGCTGTAAAAAGTTTTTGCATTGAAGTAAAAATTAAAAAAATCACTATATATGGTATACATTTTTCATACAGTGCTCTATCAGATGGTTTGACATGGCTTTGATCCAAAGAATGTCCCTTTAGATGAGCTGAGATTGCCGCTGGAGGCAACTTTGGGGTTGAACTGTTCAAGAACGTATTAAAGCCTTGAGATGAGGTTGTTTTGGTGCCTGGAGTATCCCTTTAAGCAAGGATGTGAAAATCACAAGTATCAAGCAGTAGTTGCTCTTAAAATTCTATAACATGCTATTAAAGGTATAACATGTACTTAATTTTTTGGCATTTTAGGGCGCATGCATTTTTGACTCATACAGGGTGCCACTCCAAGCATTATAACCATTTAAGCACACTGTAGTGTTTATAATGCCAGGACCCTACACCTGCAAGTCTGTGTTCTAAAAAAGCATCTTTAGTGAAATATCTGAATTTATGTTCCTCACCATAGGTTCATCCGTGGATTGTCCACCATTAACCTGCCAATTTAATTTCCTCATAACCTGTCCAAGTTGCACACACAGTGTCATCACACAGTGCATTCTCACACAAACACAGTAGCCTTTACCACTGCAAGTAGCTGTGCTGCGAGCGCCTGACAGCCAGTAATCCATACACGTGCACGCTAAGTCCTATTTATTAAACACTGTCTGTGGAGTTGCTGCAAAAGGACAGCAGTTATGCCGGGTGGACACTAATCTCAATGCTAGTGATTGCGCAAGCTGTAGCCATTCCAATGCTTCTCTATGAGAATCACATGATTGGTGAATTGGGCGGTTTGGTGTAAATGTGTGACTTATCTGTAATACTTCTCTATGAAAATCTATAGCATTAATAAATGAGGAGCGAAAAACAAAAATTGATAAGGACCTTCATTAATGTGTTTGTTCGCTAACAAAAGGTAAATTATTACAACTTTCATTCTTTTACTTTAAATTCTCAAATTAACGTAATTAATTCTGCTTCAAAGAAACACTTTTTTTATTTTAGTAACCCATTTATTATGATTTACTGTGATCATGTGTGTACATGGGCAACATGCACAGAATCATGGGACATTTACATGTACATTGAATGTGCAGGTCTTTCTACAGTATGTTACCTACTAAAATTGCCTGACCATTTACTAAAAATACTTACATACTTCCAGTTCTGGCTGTAGTGTGAATCCATGATGAAAAAAAAATATTAAACAGGGAAAGCTGGCAAATAATGTTCATATCTAGGTCTATTAAAAATACTGTACACTTCAATTCTAGGTGAATTCACATTTATTGTAGCTAAGCCTCGTTGTCTCAAGCAACGGAAGTGAAGGGGTTAAAAGAAACAGATGACTTCGGGCATGGGAACGATGTATCAGTCATTGCGTCCTGTTACACGGAATGTTAATAAATACTTCCAGCTAGGCTGCAATTTGCCCTTTAATTCTGCATAACAACTTCCTTTCTCTCTCCTGACTTCCCATTGGTGCAATGTCTCATTATACTATATCCTTTTTATGGGCTTTTGAACTGTTTAATAAAGCACAAGTGTTTACTGTTTCCTTTCAGGATAGGATATAGTCAGATGGAACAGCTGATATAAAGAATAACTTGCAAATCCTTCCGAATTTCAGTAGAAAATGAAAAAAAAGAAACTCAATCACAAAAAAAAGGCTTAGAAATAATCTATTCAAGGAAGTATCCATTCAAGGAGTTTAAGAACGTCAGTTGCTCTTTGCATTAGCAAATATGAGGATTAAGTGGATAATAAATTTTGTTTAGGCTGCATGTAAATATATGCAAAGGAAGGTCTTATGACCTTGCACACAATTACAAAGTTAACACAATTACACACAGAGATTCCTGCTATCAACAAAGGGAGTAAATTGCTATTTGTAAGTGCCACTTGTTGACAATAGAATTCACACTTATGTCGTGATTTTTTTTCTGTTTACACAACCATGATATAAAAAAGGTGTAATATATCCCAGCAATGTCTGAGGTATAATGTAGTAGGACAGTGTACTCTTAAGTCATGGCGGACACCCCCACACACAGGGGCTCTATTGACGTTCTTCCCTTCCATATGAATAATTGCATCATGTATTTGTTTTTACACGAATAACAATGACAAAGATAGAATTAAAAGCGTTATCATGACATCATTTTTAATTAACTCCATGAGCAAACCCACTAAGCATTTTAGATTATTAACATTTATGGGCTATTCAAAGCAGAATATAATGCTAGGCATTATTGTACTGGGTATCCAATGCAAAAATAAGTGCATATTTATTTATTTATTATATATTAACAAAAAATACATGAAACTAAAGAAGGCAGGAAAAGACAGAGTGGTGTCAAAATTAGGTGATATTTAATTTATTGTATTAGAAAGTTTTTATTCCAAGCACAGAAGGAAAACATTTTGGCTCTACTGAGTTTTTGTCAACGGCTTGACAATCCTTATTAGAGCCGAAAATGTTGCCCTGGGTTTGGAATAGAGGACTTATTGCTTTTCCAGCACTGTGTGCTCAGGTCTTTCATTACATCATGAATATTGCTGGTAGTTGTGTTTCTGGGTTATGTAGCACTGTGGACACTCTACCAGGCTTCCCCAAACTCCTGCCCTCCAGATGTTGCTGAACTACAACTCCCAAGATTCTCAGCCTATCTATTTCATTCACAGAATCATGGGAGTTGTAGTTCAGCAACATATGGAGGGCCTGAGTTTGGGGAAGCCTGCATCTAAGCCCATGTAAGAGCCATCCTTTAATTTTCACCATTGCCAGATTATTCATTAGGTGTCTAAGGCAGCTCAGTGGGCCACTGTCTGGGCCGGCAGGTCCCGCACTAAGCAGGCCCTCCTGAAGTCAACCAGAAGATCAAAAGATCATCATGCACGGTCCTGTGCCTCCTTGCTTTGTGGAGTGAGCGTTGTGGTGTGTACCAAAATGAGATACAGACCACTTTAGGAATTATCCCCATGGTCCCCCCAGTGCTTCTTGATGATTCAGAGTGCCACATCTGGCGCTCTAAGTCATTGACTGAGTGAGAGAACCTCCAGGAAAAGCAATGTCGGAGTCGGGGACACATACACGCAAAATTCAAACAGCACACACAGCCACTCTCTTACAGCTCTTAGCCTCCTCCTCACAAAATACTCAGTCAACCCACACCACACAACAGACCCTGGGCTCAAAGAGGCAGCCTCAATATGGGCCCTGGGCAACCTTAATCCAGCTCTGATTTTCACCGTGTTACAGTGAAGGAGGATACTTTTTTTGTGACAAAATTGGAAATAAATTATGAATCAACTGCAGTAAAGTGTGAAATGACAAACAGTTTTTCTAACATATTTTACTATTGGACATGATGGTGGTATTTTATATGCAATAACTTATGCACTAAAACCTGTGATGCCAAATTGTAAGTAAATGTGAATAAAACATTTTCACTGACACTGAATATGGCAGCTGACATGACAATAAGATAACTATGGTTTGTGTAAATGTTCTTATGCTGCCTTCAGAAATGATGTAGCGAGGATTACGATGATGTATCTATTTCGGAGCATAGTGTTTGATACTAATGAAAACTAATAACCACTTCCACTTCCAAATCCCCAGCCTCTGCCTAGCATAACAGGTGGCTGCTCTTTTTAAAAAGTGGCAATCCTTTAAGCTGGACATGGATATTAACAGAAACTCAGTAAAACTACAAGCACATTTTGCTTCAAAGCTTCATGTTACGTGCAACCAGCTTCCATGTGTTAAAAATGCTGGGCAGGTTGAGAAGTAAGTAGATTAAACAAAGAACAGTTAGTGATATATCTATTAGTCACCAAATACCATGACAGAAAGGCACCTTAATGTATTATATCCAAAATGGAATTTGCCACAATAGATCAATTTACAGAAAGTATTCTTACATATAATTTAAGAATATAAGAATGCTATTTTTTTGCACTCATTATGAATGTTATTTTTTTGTACTTATTATGAATGTAATT